TTCGAGTTAGGGTTGATTTTACATAAGGTTAGGCACGGGTATGGTTAACGAATACTTGGGAATAATCAGTGTTCACGTTATGGCAGTTTATCGCACCTGTATCCCAAAAATATCGCGCTACCATACCAGCTGTACCAGAGAAATCGAGTGTAGGAAAATATTTGGTTAAGGCTGTACTTAACTCCACCTTTGGCACTGATGTTTTGGCACCAGAGTTGCATATGGCACCTTTTCGGCTGTTTCTGCTAGATTGAGCCCTCAAACAAACAAAAAAGTCTTATGGAAAAGTCTGACTTATAATTGATCACCTTTTACATCGCTACCGTCTATTTACAGTACTTTAAGCACATATAACGCACCCAGCGCTTTTGAAACAACGCCTAAATAGTAAGCCCGATGGTATGTCATTTATCCTAATTTTGGGCTTGACAGTTCGTTACAGAGCTGATCTTTTTTTTCCCTTGGTAATAAAAAAACTCTTTTTGGAATACATTTTCCCTTATCTCTAAAGGAATTCTCACAATATCTCCACATGCTCAGACGATATCTTTAAAAATGCAAATAAACTTCATGAAATATGAACTTTACCCCCACATTGCTGACATTGCACCATTGACTAGTTTTACGTTCCCCACTATCAACAAATGTTTTCTATTCTGCTTTACAACAGTTGCTAAATTTATGTTATCAACAAGGGACTGCAGTGGAAAGAAAGAAACTGAAACTGCAGCTGTTCAGATAAATTTAAACAATTGCGGAAGTAGACTCCTTGGAATTTGTGGAATGTTCTAGAAGAACAGACTAGAAAAAGTCTCATTTTGGCAAAACTAGTAGTTTCCGAACTTGAGTACGGACCATGTGTAAAGGATTGTACAAGAAAATATATTAATGGTAATTTTCTACCCAAAAAAATGATTACTGTAGTTTATTCATTCAGAGGTGTTTGTTATTTTCAGACAATTGTACTTCTGCTCTGCTACAAAATCAAATATCCGAACAATTTCTTCTTACTGCGTGGGAATCACGAAGTGGCCAATCTTAATAGGATCTATGGATTTCATGATGAATGTTAGTTGCAAGTTTTTCCATTTTGCAATTTTTTTATCACGTTGGTAAAAAATAATTTCAACTTCACATGTGAATAAAAATCATTAAAGGAATCTAGCGAATTCCCAATGAATGCAGGCAAACTTTCTAATTGTCACTAATTTTCTATTCTTAGAGTAAAACCAGATTCATTG